GTTCTGAGGGCGCCCGGTGGCGGGGTCGATCTCCGAGTTGGTGGAGTCGCCGTAGAGCGTGCGGTTTATGGCGTTTGTGACGGTTTCCATGGTTGCGGTTTTGTGGAGACCGTTATGTATGTGTGTTTATGTTGGTGTATCTGTGTTTATGTGTTTGTGTTTTGTGTGTGTGTGTGTCTGTGCAATTGGGAGGTGGGTATTGGTTTAGAAGATGTAGATGTAGATGTAGATGTTTGTAGAAGCAGGTATGATGTAGTGGATGTAGTGTGTGTGTGTGTGTATGTGTGTATTGTATGTCTCTGAACTGTAACCGTCGCCATCCATTATATACCCCCCGCGGTCTACATCCCACTGTCCCATACACGACGTCATCACCAGCTTCTACCTGTTTCCCGCCGTGCCGCCTGGCCGCGGCCACAGCAGTGACATCAACGCCGACGATCCGTCCCCATCGCCTTCTAAGGCGTCAGGCGTGTGCGGGGTGGGTGGTGGCTTCCCACATATCCGTACCATGGCACAATGGCCTGTGGTGGTGCGTGCGTGGATGTATTTTCAGTCCGATGATGCGCCCCACCAAAAAGCTTGGTCGCGATTGATGATGGGCGGTGGGCATTGCTACATGCAGCGGTAGCGTGGGCTGCATCCCTGGGTTTGTACCACACCGCACCGCACGCCGCGTCGTGTTATTGGTGGCTGCAGCAGGTTTGGAGGGAAACAAGCATCAGCCACGCGGCGGCTAGTGGCGTGATGATGTCAGGTTGGGTGACACGTGACTTGGGGGGGTGGAAATTTGTGGGATTGAGCAGAAATAGAACAGAGATTTCTAGGCCGTGGTTGTTTACTGCATGTTTTCACGGGATTTGGGGGTGTAGGGCCAGGTTTCGTTGGTGGGGTTACATAATTGGGATGATTCTTGGACATGGGTTTCAAGAGGTATGACGACGTGCGTTCCGGTGAAGTAGTGCCCGTATATTCACGTGCAATCCGGTCCCGTCCAGAATCCAGATGCCAGTTCGATCAAAGCAAATCGACATTTTCACGGAATTCGGCATTGCTGCACTGCACCGGTTCACAACACCACTTAGCACTACACGAACATCTCTCCATAGAAACCTACTCCGCACCCATCACATCCATACGAAATCAAAATGCCAGTATAGATTAGAACAGTACGCTACAATATACTTCTACCCTTCGACGACAAACCATAAACACACACGCCCATATCACACCGAAAGCACGCTTCGCAAACCCAATGCCATTGACAAAACAACCCAATCCTTAAGATAATCAACATAACGTTATACCCAAATACAAAGACATCTACACCCAAAATTAATAGAAAAACATGCCCCCAAAGATACAACAAATATTTCATACCAAACAAAAACCCCGCACACACACGCATGTACAAATGAAAACGCAGCATGATGATGCAAAGTGCTCTACTCTGCTCTAACAAATGATATTTTATCTTTTACGACCTTGACCGCTCTATAATCGAAATATACACCAGGCACTAATCCCGCTTAATGGAAACCCCGCGCCGCCGCCGGTTGGTCGCAACCTTGATGGAGCGCTTCTGGAAGCTGCGCACAATATCGCCGCCGACGACCTGGCGCAGACAGTAGATGAGCGTCACCAGCAGCACCGGGCTTGCAACCTTCCAGAAGAATGTATCGGAGCCGCCGTTGTTGACCGCCGGGAACACTTCGAAATTCATTCCAAAATCTACCCGGAGCTTATTAGCACACTACACTGTATATTTCTCGCGGATGAGGCTACTCACAACCGGCCAAAAACGACAGTGGTAGAAATACAATGGTGATGGTGGTCAGCTGCTTCATGCTCTCGTTCTGGAGACTGCCGATGGTATTGAAAATCAGGTCAATCATGTTATCGGCGGCGCGCTTCATGGTCTCGAGGTTGTCCAGTATCAGGTCGACGTGATCGAGTACGTCGCTCAGATATGTCCGTGTCATGTCGCTGATCTCGACGCCCACCAGCCCCTTGATCTTTGGCACAAAAGAGCGCTTGTGGTCGCGCAGTGATGTGATGACCGTGGTGATGGGTGCGATAGTGGATTTGAGCATGGACAGCTCAGAGGTTAGGATGTAGAGATCTTGCGATTGCTTTATGGATGGATCGGTGAGGACTGTAAGCTCGAGCTCTGCAATCGTATCTTGGTAGGCACCGATGAGTGGGAGGGAGAGATCGACAACAGCATCGATCTAGGTGTGTTAGTCTATGGGACTTGATATATGCAGGTGGAATGGCATACAATAGCCTGTAGCATCATCGACGGATCGCTCGACGTTCGAAGACTCGTGTTGTCCGCCGCCAGTCGCTTCAGAATCGGGGGCTCAATCTCGTCGCCGGATATCTCAAAGAAAGACACCACCGTACCGTCCGACGTTAGGAACACAAACACCTGCTCAACATGCACAATCTTGCCCAGCGGTGCCAGGCTGGAGTGCGTCTCCATGTAAGCTACACGCTCGCTGTTGGGCCCCCCGTATGCCATCTGCATGGTGCGCACTATGTTCCGTGAGTTGCTATCGACGTAGCCCCCGCGTTTTTCCTCGTCATCACGGCACTCGGGCTTGTGTTGGTTCATAATGCGGCGCCAGAAAGACTTGGGTTTGTGCGGTGTATCGTCGCCACCGCAAGTACCGCGCAGATGGCTGTCGTCAAGGAGCATGAGGAGTGGAACGATGACTGTGCCATACATGCTCTATTAGCATTGTATCGATCACAAAACTTCACATGTAGCTATGACCTACCAAAGGCATGGTCCGAGTACCAATCACACTTCGGACGATTGTTTGTGTGATTCGACAGAATATCTTCCAATGCTGAACTCTCCGCAACCAATATATTAACGATCTGTCCCATTCCAAAACCAGAGTTCAAGTGTGCAACCCACCCAGAGGATGAAATTTGTAGTGTTGCGCCAGCTGCTGGATCACGTCCCATGCCAGTCCATTGCAATTGATCCACCGCACTTTGACCCAGTCCTCGCGCGGCTTCGCCAGGAATTCTTCCAGCTGGTCGCCCCAAATCTCCAGCTTCGGGTTGATGCGGTCTTCATTGAACTCGACGATCGTGATCTGCGAATCGCCCTGAAGGTTGTTGATGCGGGGGTCGTCGAGCCCCTCTGAATTCGGGTCGATTCCCGGCTCCAGGCCAGGCTCTTGGTGCGAATACTCCTGTGAGGCCTTCAGGGTGTTTGTTCGCCGTAATCGAAATTGGGATGATGTGGGCCGTCCATTTTCCGGTGAGAGTAAGCCATCCACTGTGCGATTCGTTGCTGTGGTTCCCGCACGTGGCCGCCGCGATGTTTCGACGCTGGGACGGACTGGAGGCACAGGGGAAGTGTTGATCGACAGATCTGGCCGTTCATGAGAGCTACTAGGCGAGACAGACTCCATCATGAACGAGTTCGCCGATTCCATGGGACTATCCCCGGCGGTGATGCTAGGCGTCTCCTCTTCCTCGTGGACCGTTTCGTGCTCGTCAATCTCCTCCTGCGAGGTGGCAGCGTACTGTCGTGAGCGGCCCGAGATGATGCGACGCTTGGTGTAGGAGGCGGGTAACTGCTTAGGGACCGTCATAGCGAGTGTGGGATAGGGAGTGAGAGCACAATCTTAGCTGGGACATGCGGAGACGGTGTATATCAGCGATGAGTTTTTTTTTTTGTTGCTGCAAGGTTGTTGTCCAGCTCTACATGGTGAATCAGCTCATGTAGGGAGGTTGCGGGCTGCCTGTAAAAAAGGTACTTTGGGTCTGATGGAGTGGTCAGCTAACCAGCCACCTTCCCCCATAATACTTAGTGCTAAACAAGCAATGTGCTAGCGTGCAGTCAGCTCTCAGCCCTCCGTGCGGTTGGCCCCCCGCGTCACGTGGCTACGGCGGCGGGCCTCTCATTTCCTGCAAGTCTGGGGAGACCTGAACATCGCATCATGCTTGATACATATTTTGCCTGATTTCAGACCTCAGGATTCAAGTGATAAGATCGGACGCAATAACTTTAGGCTTAACCGAGGGCAACATTTGCCGACTCTTTATAGGTATGTACATACCGGCAGGCTTTAAGGCCAGCAGCGCTCGCAGAGCCGCATTAAACTTTGTATAGGACTCTACTCTATATTGGCAGGAGCCGCACAACAACACGTCTTCCTTGCTCCACCTCACTGTCCACAACCATCCCCACCCCACAACTCCACCGTACCCTCGACAAAACACACAATCGTAAGCATGGTGACTCCGAAACCAGTGGCAGATCCCTCGCCTCCACTCTCATAGCCATCCGGGGATGTGCTGCGGATATTCTTTCCCTCACTGTTGTGCGAGCAAGGCCCAGACGCCATGTCAGCAAAAGCGACATCTACCGCCTTATCACAGTAGACCCCATGCAGTGCCCGCTGCCACACCCCTTCCTATTCCATCTCCACAATATGCTCTGGCGCATGATCACGTACGCAGGGCTGAGTAACGGCGGCGACGGCGACGACATAGTCGATGATTTCTGGTCGGACTCAGACTACACCTGCTCCTCCTCCTCCTCCTCCTCCTCCTCCTCCTCCTACTCCTAGTCCTAGTCCTACTCCTCCAACACCCCCACCGCCTCCCCCTCTCGCCTCACAAGCGCCTTCGACCGTACCTTCCTCAACCTCCTAACCATGCCCGCCCCGCCCCAGCGCTCGTCCCCCGCCATCATCACCGCCACCGTCGCCCAGTTCCACCACGTGTTTGCCCCGCCGCCGCCGGAACTACCCGTATAAAACATGTAGTCCTCAGACTTCCAATTTTAAAACAAAGTCAATCCAGAAACTAGCGCCATGACGCGTCTGAAACTCCAAGAGTGCACAGTCCCCGACTACGTACTCTACCACCAGCGGCGCGCGAGAACAAACATGCCCAGACAACAATTTTGCTCCACAGCGATCACTCACCAGTGCCCTGAGGCAGAAGCAGAAAGCAAAAACAGCAAAAGATATCGTCGAGAACAGGATTCGAACCTGCGCGGGCGAACCCACAGCATATCAGATATTGCTATTCGAGTGCTGCGCCTTAACCACTCGGCCATCTCGACTTGATGTCATAGTTACAAAACGCGAATTAATGAACCGTCTGTGAGCTTGTGCTGGAAATGGATGCGTTCTGAACTGTATTCGTAGATCGGGTGTGTATCCGCAACGGAGAAGACATTGAAAATGTTGCACCTGACATACGCGAGCTCTCCAACGCCTAAACCACAATCAGAAATAGATTAGGTGTATTTACACCAAAGTGGTTTTTATGTGTATCGAGAAGCGCATCATGTGAAGAGGAGATCATTAAATTGCTGAACTATTACCTCCCGGCAGAAGAATGGGATAATAAAAGGGCCGAGGAGGGTAAATCAGTGTGACTTAGAACTATACTGATAAAAAATGAAGATCAAGTTTACAGAAACTGACTGATATAAACTAATACACGTTGGAGAACACAAAGAACGAAGAGAACATGGAATTTTTGATGAATTGGTATTCCGAGTGATTTACAATGAAGTGAAGAACTTTTAGAAAACTACCCCAAACTACACAACAACTCAATCATAAAATCATAAATGGCACCATCTATATATACACAATCTACTTCTTCCGCTTGCCACCACCACGTTTCGGCTCATTCGGATTCCTCCGCCCAGTACCTGTGCGGATTCTATTCCCCTCCCTCCTCTCGCCCGTCAAAATATTCGGCAGGTGGTCGGGGTCCAGCATATCTTTCTCCTTGCGCCAGCCTTCCCATTTTACCGCGCGTGTGTACTCCTTCTGGTCCTCTCTCAACACTGGGTTATCCGGAACACCCTTCATGCTACTTGTCCCATGCCGCGTCTTCGGCAGCGAAAACACGTTTCCGCGGTTGTTGTACTGGAAGTTCCGCTTCAGATGCACCTTAAACAGGCCGTTGCTATCGGTGCTGCAAGACACACGGAGCAGCGTTTTGAGACCGCCGCACCGCGGGCAGAAATCGGACGGCGCTTTGGTGGAGGGGTGGCGCACGATGAAAAAGCAGGCGTGGCAGCGCAGGGCGGTGCTGCGCACGCTTTGGATGCGTACAAGGTCCATTGGAGAGAGGAGGGAGAGGTTTAGTTGCAGAAGCACATTCTGGAGCGCGAAATCCACTGTGGCAATGGCTACCGGGAGCTTGTGCGTGAACTCTGTGGAGCTGGCAGGGGGAGCGGAGGTGGCAGTTTTGTGTTTTTGGATGTTCGAGGGTGTGATCCAGTCGTCATCGTCGTCATCTTCCTGGTTTTCGGAATCCGAGGCGTCTTCGGTGACTTCAGGTTGGATGAATTCCGGTTCGGCTTCTAATGTCTCAAATCTGACTTCTTTAAGCTTCTGTGCAATATCAGCGCCGGCGTCGGCCTCTTGCTCGACCTTTTCTGCTACTGGCTTCTCGTCTTCAGTTTCCACCGGGTTCTCGGGAGTCTCTTCAGGCGTCACTTCCGCTTCTTCAGCTTGCGGCTTCTCTACCTCTGGCTCGACTTTATTCTCTTCTACAGGCTCATCGGCCTTCACCTGTACCTCCTCGGGTTGGGTCTCCGGTTCAGCATCGGTCTTTTCTGCAGGCTCCCCAACTTTGGCTTCCTCTGTCGAAACTTCACCAGTTGTTGCCGCAGCCTTTTCAGCCTGTGCCTTCTCCCATGCCTGTCTCTTCTCCCTCTTCTCCTTCTGCAGCTCCTTCTTCGACTTAGTTTTCGTTTCTGTAGCCACCTCCTTCTTCTCCTCCTTCTTCTCCTTCGGCACAATCCTCAACCCCTTCCACTCCCATCCCTCACTTCCCTCAGGCAGGGGTCCAGTCAGATTCTGCCCGGGAACTTTTCTCATCCTCCACTCCCCTCCAGCGACCTCAATTTCCAGCTCCCATGCTAGCGCTGCGAGCCCCAAATCTGTTGCGCTCAAGACTTGGTAGTCACCGGTGCGTTTTGAAAAGTCTGCTACGGCCTTAACGCTCGCGGGTTTCGGGGAGCGGACATTGACGAACGGCTTCCAGAGGGTTTCGAAGCGCGATCTTGCGGCTTCGTCGCGAATCTCAGCGACGACCGAGGGGGTAGTGTAAATGCGGTCCGCGGCGGTCAGGTAGGTGCTGGGTGCGGCAGCGGAAGAGAGAATGGGCCCTGCATCGAGGACGAGGGTGAAGAAGGGCCGTATAGCATTAGGATCGCTGGGGGCGGCCTGCTGGATTGCAGCCATTTTGGGGTTTGAGATCGGTAGTTTTTGAGACTGTGGCGGTGGCTGTTAGAGGTAGTCGTTGTGGTTGTGGGTTTTTGGTGGGGTGAATTTTTGTGTGTGCACTGTTGCTGCCCCACCAAGATTAATTATTAGCCCTCCACACAAACCTTGAAGTTTGGCCGTGGCAGAAGCATGTGATTTCTATCCCTACCCAGCGCTCAGAATTACTCAGCATCTGTTTACTCATGTTGTTTAAGGTGAATCATAATATTGGGCAAAGGCAATAAATTCCACAAGCCAGTTAAAACTACGACGCTGCATCGCATTGTGAATCCTCTATAAAGTAGTAATACAAACATCGTACATCTTCGCAATAGAGATATTAGAGAAAAAGAAAAACCCTAATAGACACCCACAAGGACGCCCAGCAAACCACGAAGTAGAATAGAACGCTGTAAAAAAAACGAGATAGCCAAGCCCATATGTAAAGAAAAAGAAAAGAAAATCATGGACAATCATGCTTCCCCACCCACTTTAGGCTGACACACTACCGTGGTATTGCAGCGACACAACCCAGTCTGCAGCAAACTCTACACCATGCCGGCGTCTTGTGCCATACTTTCTCCATGCAGTGTTTGATATTCCTATATCTGCCACATAAAGCTTCCAGGAAGAACCATGGCCGCCAGTGAGCGCATGAAGAACTCCGCTTTTTGGTGCTCCCATGCACACTACCCAGTTGGAACGGAAGTAAAACATGCCAGAGTCTTCAGCGAGAGTCGTTATCACACCTGCAGTGAAATATATTAGCATAAGACAAAGCCCAGAGGATAACGAAAGCTTACCAGTAGTTCCATCAATACCGCTGGGAATATCCACTGATAAGACATTGGCTTTGCTCTTGTTTGCAAATTGTGCCAATTCGTATGCAATGACTTGGTCATCCGATCGAAGATCCTCAAACCCGACGTGCATACCCAGAAGCCCGTCAATAATAAGCTCGGGAGGTGAATCCAACGTCTTTAGGTTAGCCTGCATCTCTTCCCACCGCGCAACGCGTCCCCCAGCGTTCCTGAATATATTAAGCTGTCTCCGGATGTTTTCCAATAGTTCATCCTCACGTTCTAATCCCAGTACACACACCATGACTCTTACGTGATGGTTCTTGAGGTGCCTACCCGCAGCAATGGCACGAGCGCCGGTTTTGTTGTTGCCAGCAAATACGAGGACGACCGGCAGTGCGTTATGGTTGCTAGCCGAAATGCGCTTTCCAAATGCTTGGATAGCTACCTGTGCTATTCCTCGCCCAGCATTTTCAGTCATCATATCATCTGTCAGCCCCAACTCCACTTCGGCAATACGTTCAACGTCAAGCATCTGCAAGGGGCTAATGATGGGACATGGTCTACCACTAGGCTCGAGTCGCAATGAAGGCTTTCCCGACTTTGTAGCCACACCCGACGAACCATTATTAGGGCCGCTAGATAACGACTGCAGGTTCTCCACCGAGGCCCTCGAGATATTCGCAGTATTACTGAGTTGTCGGGTGGCGCGTCGATTTGAGATGGACTGCCTTGACATGGCCCTGCGGCTGCTGCGTCCACTATCGGCAGCATTTCCATTACCACGCCCACGCATATCCATATCAATCCCATCAGAATCCTCCGACTCTTCTGCAACGCCGAAATCTGGCTGCTGCCAGTCATCCCGATCAGCGAGGGACTGGCCATTAGCATATGTCCCTAAAACGTTCTCGGTTGGATGATAATTCTTCTTTACAAATACAGAAGATCTATTGTAAGAACGGTTTGGAAGGCGATTGTGCGAGACTAGACGTTCCTCGTCGGCGGTCGTATCCTCCGCCTTCAGATTGTTCGTCAGCTTAAATTTCACTCTCAGTCTACCATCACCCTCATCGTCACTCGCCTTTATCTGACTGAAGACGGTCTTCTTATCGAATCTATCCAGGTTGCCTTGAAAGTCGAACTCGGTCGCTTTGTAGTCGTTTACATCTTCTGTCGCCCATCCCTCTTCTTCGGCGGTTTCCGGATAGCCCCGCTGCCTTCTAGTTCTCTGAGGCCTTCTATTGCGTTGTTTGGAGTGAGCACCAGCCTGAGAAACGGCGGCCTTAGCAATGGCGCCACCAAACATTCCAGGCTGAAGCACATTATTTCCAGTACTACTTTCAGGGGTTATGTTCCCTTCTTCATCCTGGGCATTAGGCCCAGTGTGAGTCGGTTGCCTTTGTTGCTGTCGTTTGAAATTTCCCTTTCCCCGTCTCGATCGTTTCCCACTGAAATTGTTTTGCTGATCGAGTAGTCTGTTGGGCACATTAAACCCGTCGTCCGTCTCATCAACAGCACTGGAGTCTGCAGGATCGCCACGAATGTTCATGGTGGAAAATGGTCGCTGCAAAGCAGCAGCGGCCGATACCGGTGGAGTATACTCACTCTCCATCTTCATACTACCTTCCACTGCGGCATTGGCCGATAAGGGGTTCTGGTCATGGGCCTTCGGGCCGGCAGGTATAGCCAGCGCGTCTAATTTGGACGATGATGCCCGGTTTGAACGAATACCTCCCCGTGAAGAGCTTACTTTAGCCATGACAGGTGCGACGGGCGCACGCACAGGCGTAGGCGTAGGAGGTACACTGTGACGTGGCGGTTCTGGATGCACGGGCTGCATAACAGTCGGCGCTTGCACCTTTGTAGGGGGCTTTCTAGACATGGAAAGAATCGCTGGATCTTCAAAGCTCATGTTGGATGCATGGTGATTTGCGTATGGTTGAACAGGAGCTACTGCTACTGGTGGTGCGTTAACGGGCGGTATCGAGTGGTTATATGGTTGCTGCTGCTGCTGCTGCTGCTGCTGCTGC